AGAGGTTGATAGAGCAAAGGCGGAAGTGATGGTGAATCTGCAAACTCCCACTTCAGTCAAAGTGATAAGGAGTTTCCTTGGGCATGCAGGGTTTTACAGAAGATTTATCAAAGACTTCTCAAGAATTGTCAGGCCCTTGACAAGGCTGTTGTGTAAAGAAGTTGATTTCATCTTTGATGCTGAATGTGAAGAGGCCTTCAAGATGATCAAGGATGCATTAGTCAGTGCACCAATAGTCCAGGCACCAGACTGGTCCCTTCCTTTTGAGGTTATGACTGATGTATCTGACTTTGCAGTTGGAGCAGTTCTTGGGCAAAGGAAGGACAAGAAGCTACATGTCATCTACTATGCCAGTAGAACACTTGACTCTGCACAAGAGAAGTATGCTACTACTGAGAAGGAAATGCTGGCAATAGTTTTTGCCTTTGATAAATTCAGAAGCTACCTGGTGGGATCAAAAGTCATTGTATATACTGATCATGCAGCCCTCAGGTATCTTATGACCAAGAAAGATGCCAAGCCAAGACTGTTAAGATGGGTTCTTATACTCCAAGAATTTGACATGGAAGTGCAAGATAAAAAGGGGATAGAGAATGGAGCTGCAGACCATCTCTCTAGGCTGAGGATTGATTCTGAAGTGGCTCTCAATGATAGTCTACCTGAGGAATCACTGATGGTGCTCCATTCTTACTTGGAGTTTGAAGAAGTAGAGAGCATTCAAGAGAGGAGGATGCCTTGGTTTGCAGACATTGTGAACAATCTAGCCTGTGGAGTGGAGCCACCAGAATTAGATGCTTACCACAAGAAGAAGTTCTTCAGAGAAGTCCAAAGATACCATTGGGATGAGCCCTACCTCTATGTCCTGAACAAAGATCAGCTGTATAGAAGGTGTCTTGCTGAGGAGGAGATGCAACCTGTGTTGCTAGAGTGTCATGGTTCAGCTTTTGGGGGTCACATGGGAGCATTCAAGACTGTGGCAAAGGTTATTCAGAGTGGGTTTTGGTGGCCCACAATGTTCAAAGATGCTCAGTTAGTTGTTTCAGCATGTGATGCCTGTCAGAGGCATGGAAACATATCAAAGAGGAGTGAGATGCCTCAAAACCCAATTCTAGAGGTTGAGATCTTTGATTGCTGGGGGATTGACTTCATGGGGCCCTTCATTTCATCCTATGGGAATCAGTATATACTTGTTGCTGTGGAATATATGTCCAAATGGGTTGAGGCCATTGCTTCCCCTACGAATGATTCCAAGGTTGTTGTGAAGCTGTTCAAGAGCATTATCTTCCCAAGATTTGGAGTACCCAGGGTTGTTATCTCTGTTGAAGGATCTCATTTTGTGAACAAGACTTTGGAGGGATTGCTGAGAAAGCATGGAGTGAAACACAAGGTAGCTACTCATCTTCCTCAAACTAGTGGCCAGGTTGAAGTATCTAATAGACAGATCAAGGCCATTCTTGAGAGGACTGTTAGCTCAAGCAGAAAAGATTGGAGCAAAAGGCTAGATGATGCATTGTGGGCTTATAGGACTGCCTTTAAAACTCCTATTGGGACATCACCTTTCAATCTGCTATATGGGAAGAGGTGCCACCTTCCTGTTGAGTTGGAGTACAAGGCTTTGTGGGCTGTGAAGTTGCTGAACTTTGATATCAAGACAGCTCAAGAGAAAAGGGTCATTCAACTCCATGAACTTGAAGAGATAAGGCTTGGGGCTTTTGAGAGCTCAAAGATCTATAAGGAGAAGACCAAAGCTCTGCATGAGCAAAAGATTCTGAAAAGGGAGTTCAAGGATGGTGATCTGGTGTTGCTGTTCAAATCTAGGCTTAAGTTGTTTCCAGGAAAACTTAAGTCTAGATGGTCTGGTACCTTTAAAGTTCTTGAAGTCAGGCCATATGGAGCTGTTGTCTTAGAAGGAAAGAATGGTCAAGAGTTTGTGGTAAATGGCCAAAGGATCAAGCACTATCTAGTTTGACAAAAGAAGGAGGAAGCTACATCAGTTCCCCTTCTTGATCCACCACCAGCCTGTTAAACAGGTTTCCAAAGTCAAACTTAGAGACGATGCTTTGATTGCGTTGTCACTTTCCTACAGGAGCAGCACCAGTTCGAAGCAAACACATCGGAGGATGAGTGATTGATCAGCATTTCACTGCCATCACGGTTCTATCATCATTTTTTTTTCTTTTATCTTATTTTATTCACCATCTTCTCACCAACTTTTTCACACTGGGGACAGTGTGATTTAAGTCTGGGGGAGGATGTCTATCCGTACTAATCATTTTTTTTACTTTTGCTTTCAAATTTCAAGTACTTTTTAAATTTTAATATGTAACCTATTCGACCTTAAGTATTTTTCAGGAATGTTTGACACAAAACTATGATGATTTAGACCTGCACGCTTCTACACTATGCATGATAGCTCATTTGTGGCTAGCACTAGACTAGGCGGTAACTAGAGTACTCGCACTACGAACTCCCACCAGAGGACTTCTGTTCATGGAGATTCTCTCTGACAGGATATACTAGCTCATTTTATTTGACTTTAATATTGATATCTAATTTTCTCATCATTGATTTTAGGCAGGCATCAACATACACATCTAGGACGTCTTTTACCCTCATTTTTACCACTCTTTGTCGTCCTAGATGACCAGTTCATCTTTATCTGGTACCATACCCTAAACCCAAAACCCTTGTTTTTAATCCTCATGCATTGTCTCTTTAGTTTATATCAGCAGATATGTGCAAAAATGTTGGAGAGAAGAGGAGCGACGCAGTTTTCAGTCACTCACAAGGAAGACTGAATGGAATTGGGAAGGAAGAATATCAGAAACCTCATGAAGCTTTACAAGACTGATCTTAATTGGTAATTTCGTGCTCTCTATGACTCTATATCTAAAGGTGTTCCCTCTCTTTCAAAAAAAAAAAATGAGAATGAATAAACAAAAAGAGAGGGAAACAAAAAGCCTAATGAGTCTTAGGTTGTCGAAATTTTTGGAGCAAGAAGCAACCACTATCCATTTAAGGAGCTATGGTTTTGAAAGATTTACAAAAATCTAAGTCTGGGGGAGTTAGGAGAGAACCTGAGGAAGAAGACCAGGAATCTATGGCAAGAAGAAAGTGACTGAAAACTATAGATACCAACAGCTTCACTCTCTCTTGCGGTTTTGCATAATATCTTGCATCCTCCAGATCTTCAGGTAACCCGTAAACACTTTAAGCCTTACCTCTAGAATAACCCTTTTTACACCTAGCTTAGATCACCTTGCTTATATTAGTGCCTTACCTCTAGAACAACCGAGATTTTTAATGAATGTTAAGAGCTAGTTGACTGGAAGTTAGATCTTAGTGCAATAGATTTCTGCATGACGGATTAATGGACTAGTTATGCCCGTATTGCTAGTGAGAATTCTCTAGGCTATTCCCGATTGATGCATAATGATGAATATTGGTCTAGAAGTTTGGTCTCTGAGATTTTGTTTAGTTCCTGCGTTTTCAAACCTCTCACCGAGATTGGGCCTTTGTTTTATTTGAGGACAAACAAAAGACTAAGTCTGGGGGAGTTGATAACAACGGATTTTGACAATTTTTATGGATCACTTTAATGTCTTTTACAGGTGTTTTTACTCCATTTTCAAAGGTTTTCAAATGATTTTTATGTTTTCGGATTTTAAAAGACTTTTCAGTTAATTTGGGATAAAGAAGCACAAATTGGAACAAAAAGACTCTTTTGGATAAATGCAGACCGTCAGAACTCTCATGGAGAGACGAAGACCTTCTCACCGTCTGATCACCCTCAAAATTGGACAACTTATAGAAGAATCAACCAGCTTTCAAATGCACTTGGTTTGGACACATTCCAACGGTTGGATCTCAAGATATTCCATTAGCCCCGGAGCCACTCAAAGACGGCCAGCAAGTCACGCAACCGCGGCCACCAGCCCATTCCCCGTGGTCACAAGCTTCTCGACCGTGGCCAACCACCTATTTTCCGCGGTCATGTCATACCCGACCGCGGCCGGCCAACTCTGAATTAAAGCCCATATTTCTGAAGCCCAAAGTCGTTTCTCAGCCTCAATTCCGAAACCCTAGAGACCATGGAGTATTGAAGACTATAAATACTTGTCATTTAGGTCGTTTTTAGACACCACCTTCATACTTTACAGAAACCCTTTTCCTTTAGCCGTTTTATGCGATTTTTGTAGAAGATTGTTCAAGTCTGAGTTCTTCAATAGAGAAGCTTTCTTTCATCTCTTTTCTTTACTGTTTTTTATTACTTTTATTAAAACCAATGATGATGTCGACCTCAGCCATGTATGAGTAGATCCCGAGTTGGGCTTAGGGTTCCCGAAAGGGGCTCTCATAATCGATTAAGACATCTAGGTTTATAGATCTGGGATTTTAATTTGTTTCTCTGTTTATTCTCGTTCTTATTGCATGTATGCTTGATTGATCACCTAGTATCTGATTTAGATAGTTAGTGTTGCGAAAGTTTTTATTAAGTATCAGACCTAGAATGAAACAGACGATTTTCCGTAGGAGTGGAAACCTACCTGCGGCGAGATCGTGAGTACTGACGAGTCTTGTGCAGCTTTTGCGTTCTCTCCCTTCCAGGGCCAGAGTGGAAACCTATTGGTCAGGGTTGCGAGAAACAGTTGGTTATGATCACGACAGCGACGTAGTCATACCGTTGTACTCTAGCTCTAGAACCCTATATTTCGATATCCGTCGATCCCAATCTATCATCCCTAATGTTAAAACCGATTATAATCCATGTAGAGTTTCCGAAAGTTCAGCATTTTTAGCTATAGTTTACAAACCAATCGATTTTTATTTGTTTATTTAACTAAATTCGATGTGTCTAAAAAGCCAAAAGCTACAAAGTAGTGAAAAGCCCAAAATTGAATCTGGAAAAAGCCTCACAGAATAGGGTGTAAGATTTGTTCCAAAATAAAAGGGTTTAGGGTTTAAAAAAATCGTCTGATAATGAGAGAGAAGACAAAAGATTAGATCATTAGAAAGAAAGAGTGAGAAAAATAATGGGGAAGACGTTGTTCAAGCGTATAAAGGGAAGCCAAAGCTTTAGGCAGAGACTGCTTCTCGCAACCCTTTCTTTAAAGCCTATTATCATTGATGAGATTCGAGCCAACGACATGATTCCTGGCCTCCGCCTTCACGAGAGATCTCTTCTCGGCCTCCTCGAGACTGTCTTCGATGACAGCTCTATTAAAACTAACGACACTGGTAAGTACGTTTTACCAATTGATTTAAAAGCTGGTGATTTCTTCATTTATAGCTTCGGGATTTAGGGTTCATGACTTCAGATTGATCGATTTTAGGATTGTGTCTTAGAATTTTTTAAGATCTTAGGATACTTCCCTTTTTCTATTGAGCTGAAGCTATGATTGAAGTCTAGCTGGTTTTAATATGGTCCAATATCTCTTTTGCAGGGACTCGAGTGGAATACACGCCTGGAACAGTAATGGGAGGGAAAAATTTCGTTCACGACTGTGCCCTGACTCGATCCATTAGCTATTATCTGGAGCCATTGCTTGTGTTAGGATTATTTGGGAAGAAGCCTCTTTCGATTAGGCTCAAAGGTGACTCTTTTTCTACTTCAGATAATGCTTGTTCATCTCCAAAAACCTGTCTTCCTGTCTTCAAGAAGATAAAAACTTGTAGAAATTATAAACCTAGATGAGGAAATTAGATGTTCTTAGGTTCTGTATCAGCCAACGCACTGTATGTACTTAATCCAGCTTCTTCTATGTAGTTTTGAAAAAGAAAAGGTCACAGCTTTATTATGATCTAGCGAAGAAATTATTTACATTTTCAGGAATTACAAATGATCCAAGGGACCCAAGCGTTGACACAATCCGCTCCACTACCTTAAATATGTTAAAGCGTTTTGGAGTCCCTGCAGAAGGGTTAGAGCTTAAAATTCTAGCCCGTGGAGTAGCTCCGTATGGAGGTGGAGAAGTTCTCTTAACAGTTCCAAATGTTCAGACCCTAAATGTACGTACTTGTTCATTTTCTTTTTTTCTTCCTCACTGCAAGCTTCATTGGGGATGTCTTATTTGTTATATCGCTGCTTCAGGCGGTCCAATGGCTAGAGGAAGGAATGGTGAAGAAGATACGAGGTGTGACTTTCTCTGCAAGAGTGTCTACTGACTTTGAACATTCCATGAGATTCACAGCTCGTGGAATCTTTAACAACCTCTTGCCTGATGTTCATATTTCCCAAGATCACAGAGCTGGCCCTCTGGCTGGAAAGTAAAAACTCAACTTTTGAACAAAAAAAAATAGCAGACACAGGTTTTCAACAGAGACTTGATTGATAAGAGCTCAACGTCTTGATTGCAGATCACCTGGATACGGAATATCATTGGTTGCAGAAACAACTTCAGGATGTTACATCTCTGCAGATACAACAGTGTCTTGTGGAAGAAGAGACGAAACAGGAGAGCTTGATGTAGAGAAGCAAGAGAGAAAACCACCACAAGACACAGGAGTTGAAATAGCTTCATTGCTTCTTCAGGAGATTGAAAAAGGCGGAGTTGTTGATTCAACACACCAGGTGCGTTTAAAATCCTAAACGACCGTTTTAAAAGTAAGACTCTTTAAGTGTGTATTCTTGATTCTCTGGTTTTTTTTTACAGGGATTGTTGTTTACACTGTGTGCGTTATGCCAACGTGATGTGTCAAAGGTTCGAGTGGGAACGTTATCCCCTAATGGAGTGGTGACATTGAGGAACTTGAAGGAGTTTTTGGGAGCTAAATTTGTGATCAGACCTGATCCGTTGACAGGAACCGTCATACTCACTTGCGTTGGAAGCGGTTTGCCAAACCTCGCCAGAAAGATGTCTTGATTTTTCAGAAAGATGTCTTTACAGTTTTGTCTGAAGTAAAACGCTTTTCTATTAGTTTGAATGGACGTGTATTCTTCACCTAATTATAATGGCAATTTTGCATTTGATTTTTATACATAAATGAATACTTTAATTGTAAAATATTACATAATATTTTATATAAATAAACATTTATGTGTAAAATATTATATTAGTAAATCTTATACATTAATTAACTTTTTTAATATTAATCTATTATTTCATTACAAATTTATGAGAATTATTACAGCGACAATTCTACAACGCACAAATTTTTTTTTTGCATCGTTATAAACTTCTAGTAAGTTTGCCACCATAAACTGTAAATTAATAATAATCTCAAGAGATTCAAACCCTAGATTTCATGGTGTAAAAGCATTAATGAACCTATTAACCAATAGACTAAGGGGACTTCTACTATACACATTAATTGACTAGGCCATAGAAAATTTTCCTAGACCAAAATTTCAGGTCTTTGATAATAGTAATTTGGATAAAGATTGTTTTAGGAAAACAATTTCTACTCTACGAGATAATATAATCATTTTTATGTGAATAATTTACGAAAAAATGCATATATGAGAAAAAGATATACGAGACAATATAACCATCATCTCTATACAATTAAATGAATCTTTATTTATAAGATATTAGATGAATTATTTACATTAATGAACTATTATTTGTAAGATATTACATAAATAAACCTTATAAATGTAAAAAATTCAATAAATACAGAGATGCTTAGTGGATAATATGGGTGAGTAATTTACCCTGAAATTCTTAACACACGTATCATAACAACAAAATAAATGGTCTTAATAAAATTAGTATTTAACACAACACAATTTGTGTGTATATCAAGGCTTAAAAAAATTAGTATATTGCACCTTACAGATATGTGTATCTCATAAATATGTTAGTAAATATTTTAGTGCTTTGGAAGAAAAAGATTTGCAGAAAAGATAGAAATTAGTAAGCAAAATCGAAATAGATTCCAAGTAAGAATTGGATTCTTGATTAAAAGAGTGCAAGGGAGAAACTCACAGCAAAATAGAAACTCTTTTGTTTTTTTCATCTTTAGACATTCATTTTCTAAAATTTCTGGTGGGACTTTTTTTTAGTGTCAATCAAATTTGTTTTCTTTTTATCTGAAAAATTCCAATTCTTAATTTGTAGGATGAGTTTTGGGTTTTACAAATAATAAACATAGCTTCACAACGTTTAACACATAATAATTAATAATTATGTGTTTTCACTTCAGATAAAACCAATAATATCTAACGCCTGAATTCATTTTATTGAATAAATCACACAAAAAATATGTATTATAATCTGTAAAGTTTATACCAATAAATATTTTTACAAAATAATTTCACTTAATTAAAGATAAAAAAATTTCTTAATTCCTAGTTCTTTCTTATTTTGATAATTTTATATAGGCCATCTATTGATATAAACACATAGACTCGATATATATGAATGACTAATAGTTGGTTAACTTGAGGTTCTCTATACGAAACATAGGCTTTTGGCCATCCGTAACAGAGGCTTTTGGCCATCTGAACGTTAACAATTATAAAAATTGCCCCCACATTAATTAATTAATATGTTCCCATTAATTTTTTTTGCCCCCAATGAAAACATTTTCTGGCTCCGCTAATGATTTGCATAGCTATTGATGTGTTGGTAAAGATTAAGTAGTTTAGGAATTGGTTAGTGACCAATCAGTATGTTGGGGTTGTGTAAAAATCTGATTAAACAACTTATAAAAATTTTGTTTAAGCGTTAAGCAAATAGAGTATTCACAGAACCATTTCTAGCTTTCCAAGAAACTTCTCTATCGAAAACATATTTTGGGGAGGAGGGATTAAACAATGCTTTTAAGAACAGCTCCAACCCAATTTCAAATCCTCAAATTTTAAAATTATTTATTTCCCATCCATTCTTAAATTTTCAAATTTGAGGTTTTTGCTTTTCTTTTTAGTCATTGAATCTTATTAATTTATTTATTTTTTTTGTCGATGGCTTAAGTACCTAAAACGGTTCTACTAATCAACCTGGTGATACCGAGTTTATATAAATAACATCTTGTAGATAGATACGAGCACTTCTTGCTAGTTTGTCTGTCTTCGAGTTCTTCGCGTGTGGGATATGTGATATAGAAAAATAGCTGAAGGCATCTTTCATCTTCACAATCTCCTCCAAGTATAAAGCAAAATCTGGCCATTTGTCTAGTATAAACACCATCTTCACCAACTCCGAATAGTCTGTTGCAAAAACTTTCATCATCTTCTTATTCTCTAACATACAATGTATAGCCTTGATGAGAGCTTCCATCTTCATGCAGAGGCGTAAGACTTTGCCTTACTTTTTGGGCTCCCATTATTTTGTCCATAGCACCTTCTTTAATATAATAACATCCTAATCCTGCTGATATATCCATATCTTTCTAAGAGCCATCAATATAACACCACCAGTCTTCGTAAGTTATAGGTATTGAATAGATCGGAGAAGTATAAGTATTTATGGGGGTTGAATCCTGTTCAGACCTTTGAGCCTCCTCCCATAATGCCGCTTCTGTTTTTGCTATTTTCAATGTAATTTGTGGATCTATATCTATATTCAAATATACTTTCTCATTTCTTACCTTCCAGATATACCATACGATCTGTGGAAGATGTGTGCTTTTTATTTCTTTAAAGAGTCCCCAAAAAGATGATCCATATTTGAATAAACTGATGTCATTGGAAAAACATCTGGAGGCGTTGGTGCTTAAGATTATGCCAAAGTTTGTAAAGCTGGAGGACATTCAAAAAGAACATGATTAATGGTTTCTTCCTCCACTCCCACACAGTGCACATTGTGTGTCACATTGCATTCTACGGGTGCGTAACCTAGCCGACACTAAGAGATACCCAGTTATTGCTTGCCATATAAAATATCATAACTTTGGAGAGCATTTCAACTTTCATGTATATGCTTGTAATGACTTTATATATGGGCCATTGATATCCTATGAAACTCTATCTGGTGAATAGTGCTCTGGTATCGTGATTTAACCATATATCTTCCAGATTTTGTGAAGTGTCATCCTAATTGATCTGGCTTATAGGAGCTACTAATGGAAATTCCATGAATAGTGTCCACATCCGCTTGATCAATTATTGCTATTATCAAGCCCAGGTTCCACATATTTGTCACTGAATCAATCAGATGATTGACCATAAGGTTCGGGTAATAATTTAAATCCTTGCAAGTGACTGATCTCGGGCGAGAATATGGTATCCAAGGATCAGTCCATACAGAGATTAAACATCCCGAACAACCTCTTTTGATTAGCCTTTTATTAACCAGAGATCAAGCTGAGATTATGCTCCACCAGTCATAGGACGGTGAGTAGGATCGTACAGAGTCCCAAGGGCTTGTGCTACGAAAGCATCGCCCTTTAAAGACCCATGCAAACATTAAGTTTGGTCTATTAATCAGTCGCCATAATTGTTTAGCCAATAAAGCCGTATTAAAATTCTCTACATTTCAAAATCTGATTCCCCTACCTCCTTATCTCTACACATCCTTTTCCATGCTATCAAATGCATACTTCGATGGTGTCCACCAGAGCTCCACCAATACCATGCTGATGCACTAGTTAATTTCGTCATTGTGGATTTAGGTAACCGAAAATATGACATGACAAAGGTGTGCATTGCAGATGCCACAAATTTAATGAAAACTTCTATATCCTCTTTCGACAATAACCTTAAGGTCCAACTATTAACCCTATCATGTAGTTTGTCCGCTACAAAATTAAAAATCTTATGTTTGGCTCCAACCATGCTTTCCGGAATACCCAGATAGGACCCATACCTCTATTTTTTGTAATTCCATAAATTTGTTTTAACTCATGTTGCACTTCCTCTGGGACGAAATTGATTAGAGGATTTTTCAAAATTATTTTTTTTGGCCTGAAACACATTTTTTTTTTTGCTACTTTCATTTTTAGTCCTTACTATTAAAAAGTTTAATTATCTTATCATATAAAGTTGAACACACTCAACGTAAGCTTAGACTATTATAATTCACCAGATTGTAACACATGTCATTGATAATTTGGATCGTAATATATGTAAATATAATTATATAAATTTTCCCTCTTAGTTATTTAATATCGACAAATAACAAAAAAGGAAATTTTGATTAAAAAAGAACTAATAAAATCGAAAAGTAAAGTACAAGAAAATATAAACTACAATCTAAAAAATGTAAATTATAAATCTTATGAACCATTTCATTCATTTAGAAAGATTGTTAATGGTTAATATGAATTATTTTTGATTTTCTTACTTGTGTATTATAAAACATCAAAAGAAAAAAAGTTTCTTTGAAAGGAAAATGAATTGAAACTCTCTTTCAAAGAAACTTTGCTTCATCCTTTATCACTTACAAGGCTTATTTTCATTTTATGAAGATATCTCATATATGTGAAAATAAATGCTTTTTGAAATTGAACCATAGTATCATCCATTGTTCGTTGGGTCTTTTGATAAGTTTTTCTGATAAATAAATTAAAAACTGATCAGAGCAAATAAGAGTTTCAAATAATGTTTCGTCCATAGTCCATAAAGTACAAGAGAACTGATCAGAGCATCATCTCTGAAAGTTCAGTGGGCTAATGGTATCTGGTTCCCTCATCACTGTCCAAAGTATGGGTTTATAACTTGGCTTACTCTGCTCAATCACCTTACCACAGGAGATAGGATGCAGACTTGGATTCCGGACGCGCACATATCATGCAGATTCTGTAATCACCCCACTGTAACAAGGAGCCATATCTTCTTCTCATGAAAAACCTAGCAAAGGGTATTCTTCTACGAGATTTCTCTTCGAACTGGAGTGACGTTGTTAGCTTAATCTCTCAACCGAGGAAAAGTAGTTTGAAAGGATTTATCACTCGCTATCTTTTTCAAATGATAATCTATGTTCTTTGGAAAGAAAAAAAGAAATGACAGAAGACATGAAGCATCTCCATCATCGGCTTCAAAACTCATCAGGTTCATTGATAAGAGTGTC